AATCTTCGCTCGAACTTTTCAACAATCAGCTAAGGTCACTAAATCTTCGCTCGGTACTTATTAGTGTTTTGATACTTTAATTTTCATATTTAATTATTTTAATTATACTTTAATACTTAATATAAATTTCTCTTTATCTTATAAATATAGGATACTTTAAAATCATAGACCAAATATCATTGGTTCAATACTACATACCGAATTGCAATATCGAATGTGTAGAAGTGATGTTGAACTCTTACATTCGTATTAGTTTATAGAACTGCTATGAGGCAATCATATTCATATCTTTCCGCAAACTATATGGGGACACGTTCTTTTAACGTTTTAGCTCGACTAACTGTTAAGTTTTAAACAACTTCCTAATCCGGCAGACATGATTGGATCCAACAATCATTAGACGAGGTTGAGCTTAATTAGTTGGTTTCTCCGCCCCCCCCCCCCCCCCCCCCCCTTCCCCACCCCCATTTTTTATGTATTAAAATGAATTTGTAGAGCAAGGACATGTCTATATATACACTCTACACAATATATACTACTGGCATGATAAAATTGTCGTCCCATTTCAAATTTCCTATAACGAGAGCAAAAGTATGAATCACATTTTTGTCTTCGTCATTATTTATCTTTATTTTGTATAGAAAATACACAAGTATTGGGATTTGAACTAATGTATCTTTGAACATTTTAGTAACGAGAGCGAAAGTAGGAATGATATTTTTGCTTCACAATTATTTTATAAAAACTATAAACTTCCAAAACTCAGAAATTGTAGCTCAAACTAAAAATCAGAGCATCGAAAATCAAAGTTTACAAAATTTATTTAATATATCATTTATTGATAGATTTTTCTCTCTCTGTAAACAATGTAAAACGAATCAAGTTATAGCCAAATTAGCAGCTTTTGCTCGAAGATGATGACCCGCTTCTTTAAGGGAAAAAGGAATAAATGTGGTGCCGTCAGAGATCTAAAGAGCAAAGATGAAAAGGATACACTACGAGTTCGTGAATGGTGATTGTGAAATAGATCATAAAATCATGGGCTTGTGGCTAAGTAAAAGGATAGGAGGTTAGTTAGATGGCTGACGATATAGAATTTGCCAATTTGGTACATCTACAGGAGATCTCCAGGTGTACATGGGCGTTGGGCCGTGCTTGGGCCGACACGACACTGGCACATTTATTTCATGTCGTGCTTGGCATGGCCCGTCAGTTTTCGTGTCGTGCCATGCAAACCCATTTGTTAATTTTGCTAGGCCCGGCCCAAGCCCGGGCACGGTTCGAATCGTGTCGTGCCTTTTCGTGCTCGTGTCGTGCTCGTATTCTTGTTTAATGAAAATGACGAAAACAAAAGAGAGAATGAAAAAGAAGGTGAAAATTGGACGAAGGAAGATAGTATTAACCGATAATGTTTGAGAAAAGTAACAAATAAGGGGGAAAAGAAAATTGAAATTATAGCGAGTGTGATTTGGCTTTGTTTAATTCTTTTTCCATTTTTACTTATTTTTGTAATTACGTATATCTTTATGACACTTCTAACAAAAAAAATAATTATTTTTCTACTAGTGTTTTGTAATATTTGAACCTATAATTCTTTTTATATTTATTTTCTACCAAATAAATATTATTTTTGTGCCATGTCCGTTTTTACACTCAATAAAGTCTCGAGAATATTAGGCCCGACACGGCCCACTTATGTACCGTGTCGTGCACGTGCTCATGAAGTTTAGGCCCGGCACGACCCATAAATTATTAGTACTCGTGCCGCGCTGGCCCATTCATTTCGTACATCTCCTCGTGTCGTGCTCTAACCGTGTCGTGCCAGCCCGTGGGCGGCACCGTCCGGCGCCCACGTACATCTCCAGCGTCGACTTAGGAAACAAAGAATCGAAGGAAAAAAAGAAGATGTAGACTCTTTTATCAACAACTAATTGAGTGCATGCGGGTGTGGATAAACGATTCATTCATTTTGTCTTTTCCTTAAAAAAAATAAAACTAAAAACTCCAATAAAAAACTGAAAATAGTATCGTAAACTTTGTTGGGTTTCTATTCAACTTTTAAGGTAGGCTCCTTTTTTAGACCTAATCATATTATATAAAGCTATTATCCTACTAAAATGATTTTATTATTATTTTTTGTTGTATTGTTGTAATATTTTGACGAAAACATGTTAGTAAGTTAAATGATATATTCATTAAAATAATATAATATTCATGCTTTTCGGCGCACTCAAATTATAATTCTCAAAGATCTACGCTCTTACGCTGCAGTTCTAGCTCCTGCTCTTCCGCTCCGCGAATTGGTAAGATAAATCCGTCGAGTCAATTCTGTAGACAAAGAGACTACTGACAGAACTCGCCTTTCATCACATATTGCCTTCACTGGCAAACTCCTCCATGCTCAGTTCCCACTTGGTTGTTCCTCATTAATTCCATATTTGACACACATCGCCGCCATAGAAGTGCGACCTTCATCGCGTGATGAATACATGTTGTTGGAGTTCTTTTTCGGAGCTCGAAAGATGATATCGAAAAGTAGCAGATAGAGAAACAAATGTAGGTAGTACGGGCGAGAAAGAATATTATTCATATGTAGATGAGATTTTATATAATTTATAAATATATGAACAATATGATGACTTTTTCACATATCCGGGCAAAAGCGAACTAAAATGATTGGACCATTAACTTTTAACCCACTTAATCGATCGGGCCAACGAGCTAAACCAGGTTGACAACCTTTAATAATTTCAAATATGATTGAGTCAAATCGATCAATAATTGTGGACTTTCAGGGAGTGGTTGAAATCCAAAAGTCGATCTTCAAGGTTCTTTCGTGACAGACAAGTTTTTTAGTCTAATTATTGTTGCGTCGAAGGAAGAGAAAGCGGAACATATGGAGGATGAGATTGTGGCTATTAATTATTGGGAGTTGCAGATGGAGAAGATAAACCATAAAAGGGGTTGAATTTAATTTGATAATACGTATATACTATATATTACGATGGCATGTTTGATGTGAAAATAATAGAGTGATAGATTTGAGAAAAATGAATAATAGAGTGACAGTTTATGCTAATAACTCCACATGAAAAGTCACAGATCGTATTGGCATAGTAGAATTTAAGGTTTTATAATAATTGGATTTTCTTCTTTTGTACGTGCATTAATTATTATCTAACAATTAACAACCCCCACTTATTAGAGCACTTCTACTATGCTATATAGTATTAGTGCTTTAATGTACAACTTTAGGTTGTACCATAACAATAAATGTATAAGTTAGGTTGTACCATAAAGGAATTTGTATCATTATGTTATGATATAACTTTACAACTTGAAGTTGTACCATCACATAAAGGTACAAGTTCAAGTTGTACCATAAAAGAATTTGCACAAAAAGTATAGGTACAATTTGAAGTTGTACCATAATATTAAAGGTAGCTTTTGCAGTACTTTGAGGTGCAAGGTCAGGTAGCTTTTGTAGTACTTTGAGGTGCATATTAGGATGTATCTTCTCCATTGTTAGTTTATGAGCAGATGTACAAGGTGGCTCTTCCCTTTTCATAAGCTCTTCCATTGCTTTCACACATAGTTCGAGAAAGTGCGCTTAAGCTTATGCTTAGGCACACCTAGGTGCTAGATAACACCAAAGTCCAAAACGCCTAGCCTAGGCTCCGCAACAAGTTAGGAAACAGTAACACGTTGATGGAGTAAGGAGACACCTATATGTCGCCTAGGCATAACTAGAGGGAGTTAGGTAGTCAATATCAAAGGGGCAAATCAACATCATCTACAAACTCAGGGGTCGGTTGGAAGTTGTGATTCTTCAAATTGATGTATTGAGGCAATTAGTGTATTATCATTTGATGTATTGAATCAATTGATGTATTAGGAAAATATCTTATTTGGTGGTTTAGATTGTGGTTTATTGTAAAGCCAAAGAAGTCCATTTTGAGTGATTGGGAAGAATCTCAACAACAAAGTAGAGATTGATAATCCCTCTATTATGAGTGATTGTGGTGGGTAGGGGTGTACATGGGTCGGGTGGTCCGGGTTTAGGCATTTTAAGTAAAAACTAAACCCTACGGTTTGTTTATAATTGGGTTGGGTCGGGTTGGCGATATTTTTAAGTAAAAACCCAACCCAACACAAAATATGTAATTATTCTACATCATAAAAATATTTTATAACAAATTAAAAATTCAAACGAATAAATCGAGGTGAAAGGTATCAAAATTCACAAATATTGTTTGAATTTTAATAAAACTTGATTTACTTCAACTTATGTCTAGTTTTTTTCACGACATTTGTTGAAATAGGCTAAAAAGGTTACAAATGAACGCATCCATAATATGATATTCTTTTAAAATTGTACACAAGAAAAAAAAAATTACGTGAATCATAGCTATATTAAATATATGTCTAAACTTGAAGTCGAAGAATGCATTAGATTAGTGAGACTTTAAGAGAAAAACATGGCGAAATATCTTAATTTTCTCATAAGTATGACTATATACGACATAAATATTTTGTTTGGATACGAACTCATACCAATAATTGGAACACGAGTTGGGTCGGATTCTACGGGTGTGTAATCCAAAATCCAAACCCAACTCAAAAGAGGCGGGTTGTACAACAGAAAACCCTCACCCAACCCAAAACCTTCGATTTAGCGATAAATAAGGGTGGGTTGGGTCGGGTTGGACGGGTGGGTCGGTTTGCGGGTGTGTTTGTTCACCCCTAGTGGTGGGGCCTCCAAAAAGTTAATGCATGTATTCTATTTCAATATAAGACAAAAAAAGACTTAATCTCACAAATACATGACTTGGCTCAATAAACCATTTGAAAACACAACTTCCAAATGACCCCATCTATATCAATTTGTTCAATAGCTCAAAAGCTTTATAGCTTCGATTATATGAACTTTTGAGCTATTTTTCTTGTTGTTAAGAGTTAAGTAAGTTATTAATAATTTGAACCGAATTAGGGAGTGTTGTAAATTAATGTTTCATTCATTATGTAGTATAAATTGCTATTTTGTTTCCAATGCCTAAGCACGCTTAGGATACGTCTAGGTGAACTAGGTGCTAGGCAAGGCCCCAACGTCCGCCTTATGTCTAGCACTTTTTTGATCCTTGCTTGCACAGAGGAATAGGTTAGCATGGTTACTTATTTTTTAGTAATCATGGTGGCTACTAAAGTCTACACCATTCATTATCTCTATTTTACCTTAATTTTAAATTAATAGTTAGATTACATAAAGGATAATTTTGGAAATAAAAAAAAGCAACACCTGATTACAATATATATATACATATATATAAACCCTACTGCAACCCATCCTCCTCCATCCCACTGCTACCGGCCCTAATTTCCCTGGATTCCTATTTAACACCCTAAATTTTTAAATTTTTCGCCCTAAACTTACCCAAACGGACGATTGTACCCCCAATACCTAAAAGCTTCCGCCCCCAATCCTCATAACGGCAGCCCTAATTTTGCTCTTCTCCGGCCCATCGCCACCGCCACCTCCACCTCCGATGTTGCGCCGCTCAAGGACAATTTCGATTGTTTGGGTTACTTTGATCTGAACTTTTATCGATCGCACCCGCATTTGTAGCCCTTCTCCGTCGCAGATTGTTTCAATCGGATTCCTTCTTCCTCCTCGAGTTCAGGAGCTGCAAAGGTGGGTGGCGGCTGCAGTGGGCGGGGCAGAACATGAGAGAAGGCGTTCCCAACCCCGCTCCTCTTCTCACCGGAGGTTTCCTATTCTCCTTCCTCAGCGGCGGTGAGGAATCCGACACCGACTGAGCGAGGGTGGCGGTGACGGGTGGAGCAGAGGACGAGCAGGAGAGGGAGGGTCATTGAAGGCGGAGGCTCCCTTTTCTCCTTCCCCAGAGCCGCTGAGAAATCCGACACCGAATGAGCTAGGGCGGCGACGACGGCGAGGGGCGAAGCCGAGGAAGAGCAGCAGAGCGAGGTTCAGGAATAGGGCGATAGGAACGTTAGAGATTGGGGTTAAATGTGTAATTTCATTTCATTTTAGGGCGATGATTTTTTAATTTTAGGGCGTTAATTAGTAACTCTCTAATTTCCTCACCCCTACCCTGCCGCCCGCCCTCCCATCCCACCCCATCCCGCCGCCGTCATCGTCCCTCTCCAATTCCTCCCTCCCTCCCCCCACCCTACCCTCCTCTCTCTCTCCCCCAACGTCGTCCGCCCTCCCATCCCTCCCCCATCGTCGCCGCCGTCAGTAGCGATCTTAGGCCTCTGACCTTACAGCTCTTTGCCGGTGCCGTGACCTTACAGTACGTCGTGCTTTGAGGTTCTTCTGTCGTTGTCTTCACTGGCTGCTCCGGCTGTTGTTGTTGCTCCTCCGACTGTTTTTCGTTCTGACGAGTCTCCACTTCATTTGGCTCCTCTACCACCGCTGCTTTCTTCTCCCCTGCAGCCTTCTGCTCTGCTTCCACTTTCCTTGTACTGTTTCTTCCCATTTGTTCGTTCTGCAATCTGAAAACCCATCAACAGACATTAATTAATTTCCCCTTAACTAACCCCCACGAAATTGTTGATTGATTGATTGATCAATAGATACTCACATTGGGAACTGGAAAGATTTGGTGCTGTTATGGTAGTCATATTTTTCCGTAGTGATTTTTTTTTTAAATGGTAGTCATTTTTTCCCATAGTGGTAGTGTTATGGTTGCATTGGTATTGATTTTGTCGCATTGGTATTGATTTTGTTACATTGATATTGATTTTGTCGCATTGGTAGTGATTAAATCTGCAATGGTATTGATGTTTTCTGAAATGGTAGTGTTTTTATTTCTTGAATGGTATAGATGTTTTGTACAATGGTAGTATTTTTTTAATGGATTGGTATTGATTTATTGTTTTATTGTTGCAGCGGTATTAGTTTGGATGAACGAAATCAAGGAAAGATTGAGAAAAAGAAGGAAGAGAGATCTGGCTGAAAAATTGTGGAACTGAGAGAAAGAGAGAGAGAAAAATTGTATTTAATATATTTATGTAATTTCCTAAAATGTAATTTATTAAAAAAGATCATTAATAAATTTTTTGTTATACCCAATTTGCCCTTAGGTGATTACTTTATAGTAATCACCGTAACCTATCCCCTTGCATAGACTATGCATCCCGATGAAGGTATCTAGGATTGGTGCAACAACTTATTTTCCACATAGAACCTCTAAAAATTCATTTAGTATGTCTTAAACTTTGTACTGGAGTAATCTGGGAAAGAGTAATTTTTTGTGCCATGGTTGCCAAATTCAGAGGGTTTATGGGGACTCTTTCACAAAAAAAATCTAGACAGGGATTACGGCCTCCTTATCCATAATAAATTTGATATCCTTCTCCTTTGATTTGATAAAATTTTCAAGTTCTAACATTTGGAGGAAGGGGATCTATATAGGAAGTGAAATATCATTGCATGTGCAGTAAGAATTTCTCTTCCTTATTCCTTTTCTTCAAAGAAAAAAGTATTCCCTTAAGTTTTCTAGCGAAAAGGGTTCTTGCACAGGGCTTAGGAGACTCTCTAGATGATTTAAATTTACCAAAGGCTCATTTTCACATTTTTAATTTATGGTTGCTTTGAAAAAGAAATTGCGCTCCGAGCACCAGTTTGGGTCTTCATTTTTTGGTATGTGCCTAAAATGGGGTTTTCTTTGGGGATGTCACTCTTTCTTTCCTTATTGTAAAAAAATAGATTTTCGAAACTCAATGTAAGGAACAAAAGTGTTGTTATCAGTGATGAAGCACAAGAGCGGTAGGGATGGCATAATATTCACAACCGTGGATATCCGTCCAAATTCGACCTAATCAGGTAGGGCAAATTCCAAAGCCAAAAGATTTTCGGTGAGTACCGGTAAAACTTGAATCGAATATTGCACGTAATGGATGAGCATGGTTTGTTACTATCCAACACAAATCCACCCAATTATACACATTCATATGTATCTTGTCTAGAAATAGTCATTATTTTTCTTAACATATTCAATATTTATTAAACATATATAACATTTTCATGAAATTGCGTTATTTAATTACTTTTCTTCCTTCTTTTTAGTGATTTATTGTCGTATTTTCACTCACGGAATGTTTATATACATGTGAATATCTGGTCATTCTTTGTGGGTCATAGTCTTTGGCGTCTCTATCGCCAAAATTATGGAGTTTTTTACTCACTAGGCGCCAAATTCTGCCCATGTTGGAATTTAATTTTTCGAATCCTAATCATGATTTTCAAACTCTTTTGACCTTTACTGAACATAGTCTCATTATAACATGATTTCGGACCAATAAATTTAGAAATTATGAAAGGTTGACGAGGTTTTGAGGTTATAAGTGCTCATAACTTTATCTCTTTCAAACTTTGATTATTTTCTGTATTGCTTGGAAGTTGTCCTTGTGGTCTGGCATTAACTGTAGAGGATAAAGAAGCTATCTGATGTTCCATACTTCACATAATGGCTTGTTGACTGTGGAATAAGGATTACAACTTTTCAAAAGTCAATATAGCTTGGGGCTGAACAGAACTCTACCCTTGCTCCTTGTATGGAGGTCCCACACCTAATCTAGGTCATTCTAGATTTGGTTTCTTCTTCCAATTCTGATTGGATAAAGCTTTTATGTCCCAATTCATATGGTGGAGATATGGAGCTTTGGTGGATGTTATCTTAGGATATTCAGATGCCTTCAAGCCTTTAGGAATTGACGATTGTCCATCTAGTAATTGGACTAACTCTTTGTGATGCCTTCTAATTAAACGATCTTGTGCATGTCCAAGATCATTAAAATCAACAACAAGTGTTGACTTGCAAAGTTCTTCACAAGTAGTTTGATGTTTTTGACTGGCTTGAGGTTCTATGGATTATCAAACTCGATGGGTAGCCTACACTTTTGCGAGGATAGTGTAATGAATATGCGTGAAATGGTTAATTAGAGAGTATTAACCATTCAATCTGTTTGGATAACGTGCTTACTTTCATCTTTTGTGAACTTTAGACTTTGCCAATCGATCTTTTTGTATTAGAATGTTTTCTATGGGGTGAAATGTATAATAAACGAAAAATCCTATATGACAAGTAACATATAAGAAAATTTTCATAACAATTAAATTGTGGATAAAAATTCCAAAAATCTATGAGGCAATAATGCGGGCCAAGCTTTACAAATTGTAAGCTTGTCGATACAACACTAACAACTCAAATTCGAGCCAAGTATAACTCAAATTGACAAGGTAGTATAGCGATGACCGAGGCCCATGGGCTTACAATTAATTCATTATGAATTACTTATGTGGAAATCGATGCAATGGTCAAGCCACCGATCCCCTCCTAGCCAACTCAACAATGCCAATGTCACCTCAACCAATTTTCCTGATTAGGGATGGCATCTACCTCTTCTAAATGGATTTCATCCATCGGCACACTAGGTCGATAAATCGATAAGTTGGTAGTCATACACTTATCTTACCAGCATCATCTAGGTGGGATCTGAATTGGCAGGGAATGGTCACCTTGTCTACCAATAATATAACTTAGGCAAAATACACTAAATCATACATACACAAGAACTAACCTAGGGCTAATTCAAGAAACATGCAAATTCATGCATCCATACCATAATTAGAAGCATTAAAATACTAGTTGAACTCAAATCATATCATAGATATCATTCAATAAACAAAGCCTAGCTATTTACTAGAATTCATCTACCCTAAATAGCCTCAGGGTTTTATGTCATAATGAAAGATAATAAATACAAACAACGAATAAGGGATTAACTTGTGGCAATTGTCCTTAATGTGGGAATTCAAAGGTAGGTTCATGAATTGTTACCATAGGGTGTTTTGGTGGGTTGGTGTAGGTGCACACGTGTAGGTCTTCGTCTACCTGGTTGGTATAGAACGATAAACCCCATAAGTAAAAGAGAAAAGAGAAGGTTGTCGAGCACAAAAAAAACATAGATAGATAGGTATTTAAGATTACTACTACTAGGTAATTAATAGTACGAGGTACGGAAATGAAAAGCATAGAAAAATTAGACATTGTTTTTAAAGACAAAAGAAAGAAAAGCAAATAAATAATTAGGCCCTGGATGCCTGGAACATAATCTTCCTTGGAGATTTTTTCTTCAACTCTGGCTTCATATGGTTTAGGGGAAGGTGAGCCAACAAATTGTGGAGAGACAACTTCTAAGGGGATCTCTATCTTCTTCATAATTGCATGTATGCATGCCATAAGGTGTTGCCTTGCTTCCTTCTCCCGTCTTTGGTTTTGGAGGATTGTCGCTATCAACGCTTGGGTATGGTAATAAATAGCTCCGGTGATTGTTGAGGATGTCTGTGGTAGGTTGGTTATATGTCACCTCCTCCTCTTGTATGTTGTCTTCTTGTCCTTCCTTGCCATCCACGCCAATTGCATCTTTTGCTACACGCCGGTTGGTAGGCGTCGAGAGACGGGACCCTTACTAGGAAATAAGCGCTAGTTCCTCTCAATAAATTCAACCAATAATGCACACAAAAGTGATAAATCGATGACGCTTGCATCATCTTTACCATTTTTTAGGGAGGCATTCCTCTAGCAGAGGTTCGGCCGTTCATACACTAAAAGAAACACTAAGATCATTAATCTAGCCCTAATTAGCTAGGCGCTCCCAGTCTGACCCTACACTTCCCACCTAGTTTTGTAGACTCATTTGTAGGCTAGTAGAGAAGAGTTGGGAGACACGAGCCTCGGCATAATCAAGCATACATGTAGCATAAATCACTGAAACAAACAAATCCATTAAAAAAACGTAACACAATTACATTAATATTCAAAACCTAAATCTAGGGTTTGCGGATTTTAATCCCTAGTACCTTAGAGGACTACTCCATAAATGAGGGAAGAAGATAAATATGGAGAAAATGAAAGAAGACTTGAACTGGGGAGATCTCCCTTTCTCCTTGACTCCTCCTTCTTCTCTTCTTCTTCCTTTAAATTCTCTCTACTTTCTCTCTCAAACTAGAAATTTCAGAATTGATTTCAGCTCCCTTAATGAGGGGAAGGAACCCGCGATTCGGGCAAGTTTGAGACCAGTGGGGCAAAGTTCGCGGGCGTAAATTTGGAGGTTGAGGCCGCGATCTTTGGCTTGCTGTTTTGTGCCTCGTTGGTCGAGGAGTTCGCGACCCAACTTCATGGTCGCGATTCATGAGTCGCGGCCTCGATCTTTCTTCACGGGATCCGGTGCAAAAAGTCGTGAGCATACTGTCAAAACTTTCTATTTCTTCCTTGTTGGCTGCTCAAAAATTTGCGCCTAAAGCCTCCATTTCATGGCCATGATCTAATGATCTTCAATTCAGAGGCCATGATCTCTTAGCTCTAGTTCACACCCTCTATTTGTGACCGTGATCTCCTTTCCTTTGGCCACGATCTCTCATTTTTCGTCCATAACTCTACACTTGTGCACACTTTGATGCCTAAAACATACATATCATCTAATACACCCTAGAATACCGATATTTTCTCAGTGGAATGAATGAAGGGCATACTTGACTACATATTAGAAATGAATAACATAAAATGACTCCAAACAGACCTAAAAATGGGATCCAAATAACACCAAATTGAGCATTGTCAAATCTCCACACAAATTGATGAAAAGGAGTTAAATGAAGCCTCCTATGCATAAGCAAGGATCGCAGAAATTGCTCTTGTTCGACCATCGATATTAAGAAGCAAAACCCACTTGTACTAAATACGACTACTGTGTAATCAAAATAAGAAAGAGATGATTAATGACTTGATATGAATTAATGATGGTCGATAGTAGTTAGTGAGAGAACTATACTATTTTGATGAATGAGAAGAAAAAAGGCGTTATATTTTACTAATTTTGGTGAAACTAAGTAAATTTGACCCACAAATTTGATCTTATTCCTTTAACTTGGTTTGAGTTGGTCCAAACATTCAATTCATCTTGGACCATAAAATCTTTAAAGCCTTTAAAATAGTAAGATTTTACAGCCTGTTTGGATGGGCAAAAAACTCAGGAATTAGAATTCCATTTCCAATTCTATTTAATTATTTTATGTTTGAAAAGACAAGAAGGTTGGGAAATGAATTCCATTTGATCCAAATTATGGAAACTAGAATTCCTATCAAAAGTGATAGGAATTGGCTTTATGGAGATGGAATTAGTGAGACCCATGCATATTTATTATTATTTTATCACTCCACTATCATATTCCTCTCTTTCTCTCTCATTTATATCTCATATCTTGAGATAAAAAATATACAAAATTATTAATAATTGTTAAAAGTACAATTCATTTCCATAGTTGTGCGAATTATACCAAACACAAAAATTGGGAAATGGAATTCCATAAAAGTTAAAATTGGAAATGAAATTCTATTTCCATTTCTTATGGAATTGTATCCAAACAGGTTGTTAATGATTTAAATAATGAATATCATAGGATTTTAAACTCCACATATTTTATAGTGAAATCAAGATCGAAATATATGAATAATATCGTAAAATTGGAATTTTGACTACTCTGGCTAGAAGATGGAGTCAAGTAGGCCAGTGAGACTCGACTTGTTAAGCGTGAACACCCATCTTTTCAGGTGTATGGGAAGGGTAAGCGTATATCAAGATGTGGAGAAATCAAAGAATATAATAAATCAATTCCCTTGATGAGCGAAAAAAACTTGAAAATTCCTAATGGGTTTCCTAGAGCAAAAAAATACATCAGGTTCAATATCAACAATCCAACTTGTCAGATGTAGTGACCTAGGCATCGAACCATGAGACCTCTTGCAAGGCCACATAGGCAAGACATGATGATTAGGCATAATCCATTATTAAGTTGAAAAATTTAAAACCAACAATTTACGAGTGATCCCCTGTTAGGAGGGAAAACATGTAGTGTACGGATGGTTTGTTTAGTTTAACACATGGACCTGGCAATGTATGTGTGCATCTTTAACACACCAGTTATTGATACTTGCAACGAAGCACAGTAACGTATGTCACACCTTAATATATTAAATTGATTCAAAAGAAGTTTTCAATTCGAATAGGAGTCAT